TTCGCGCTCGACGCATAGCAGAGCAGGCCCTGATCCTCGATGGGCCTGTTTTCCACCACCACCACCACCATAAGTTGGAGGGGGGAGGGGGTCCTCCTCTCACGCGTCTTCTTCCTCCTCCTCCTCCTCCTCCTCCTCCTCCTCATCCACCTCCTTCCCCCCTCCAGCTTATGGTGGTGATGGTGGTGGAAAGCAGGCCCATCAATCCTTCCTCCAGAGCTGGTGCTCTAGATACATACTGGTCCACCCACTCCTCCACCCGTCTTCGTCGATCCAGAGACGCCGCCTCGGGCGCGAGGGGGGCACCAGCTGGTAAGTCTGCGCCAGCCCGGGCGACTGACCTTTGAGCTTGGAATCCGTCAGGGAGGGGCGCCACACGCCGCAGTAGCCGTCAGTCAAGGGCCTGGAGCCTGGCACGGTGCTGACAGCAGCGCCATCCCGCGACATATGGCTGTCCTGAGAATCCGCGGGCGCGACGGCCCTCTGGAACATCATCTGGGCTTGAGCCAAGGCGGAGGAAGCGGAGGCAAAATACGCGGCCGCTCTCGATGACCATCTAGGTTGCACCAAATATCTATACACAACTAACGCATTCAGCAATGTCTACGTCAACAGGGTTGTTCCCCGACTAGGTTTGCCTAATGGGTTCTTACTTGGTTAAAGGTTAGTGCCTCCTATTACTACCTTGCCCGTTGCTCCGAGGTTCCTCGGATTCCTCTGGTTCCTCGGGTTCCCCGCCCCCGGTGCCTGCTATTGTTACGTTGACCGTTTCCCGGAGGTTCCTCGGGTTCCTCGGCTTCCTCGGGTTCACCGCCCCCCGTTGCCCAAGCTATGTCAAACAATGCCGAGCGATGCCAGGCAGTACCCAAGCCATGCCAGGAAGTGCCAGGCGGTGTCAAGCAATGCCCAGCATCGCCCGGCAATGCCAAACAATGGCCAGCACTGCCGACCCATGCCAAGCGATGCGCCCCAACAGTGCGCCCATGCAATCGGCTCTCCCCGAATCGGGGTCGCGCCGGGTTTATCGCCCTCTTTGAAGGGGCCCCAGGACACACAAATAAATACACACAAATAAAAAGATTCCCTATATGTTTCCATATTTTCTGTTTTTTTGTCTTCCCCCCCACTTCCCATATTTTCCTATATTTTCTGGGGAATCGACGATTAATTGTGTCTGTGTGTTTTTTTCCCTCCTGACTCTTCGGGGAATCCGCGGGCACAAACTGCGCCGTGCACGGGCCCACTCTGGTCCGCCGCCCCCGCGCGGGAGAGGCGGCGGCGCAGGGAGGGCCGAGGACGAGCGGCAGCATCAGCAGCAGGGCGGGCGAGAGGGAAGAGCCGGTGGCGAGGAAGGGGGATGGAGGAGGAGCCGCGGGGAGAGGGAGGGGGGAGGGGCAGAGGGCAAGGGCGAGGAGTACTCCAGAGTTCGTAATAAAAGGGAGGGAGTCTGGACCCTCCAAGAGAAGCCATTTCAGACCCCCCCCCGTGGGAGAACCCTCCAAAACACCGTCCCCAGACCCCCCCAGGCCCTCCAAGATAGCCTGGAAGAGACCCCCCCCCGAAATGAGACCCCCCTCCCTTTACTACGAAATCTGGAGCAGCTTCATTAGAGGCCTCCTAAATTGGGGATCGGAGCAGCTGGGGTCGGCGGATCCGGCCGCATCGGCGATGCATCGGTGATGCGATGGCGACGCACTGGCGATGCGATGGCAACGTCGGCGATGCACCGGCGCCGCAGGCGTGGAGGAAAAATCGGGCTCCACACAGAGCCGCATCGCTGATGCATCAGCGATGCGGCGCGATCCACCGACCCAATCTTCTGTGACCCCATCTGCGAGGCCTGGATTCCAAGACAAAGAGAAGGGTGGGCGGTGTTCCAGAAATGCAGGAGCTTATCGCTACCGGTGAGCGGAGACAGAAAGCGGAGAAAACTGTGTTCGATCCTGGGGTTCCGATCCCAAGATCGATGCGTCAAGAGGCGGGGAGCAAGTTGCATTCGATCACGCTTCGCTGCGGACACGCCTTGCGCCAGCCTTGTGAGGCGGGCCAGGTCTGACTGACCCTAAAGCATTAAACTTTGTGTTTTCGATGGAGGGCGTGTGCTTTTGAACATTGTGGCTCTCGCCACAGCGCCGCACACATACATGTTCACAGCCTCAATATGTAATGTGGATGGGGCGCGGCTCGTTTTCGAAATATGGTATTCGCCTTAGCGCCGCGCACGTTCGTCTTACTTAAACGTTCCAATGATCTGCAATGATGGCGGCTGGGTGATACTCGAAAAGTGGCTCCCGCGTTGGCGCCGCACACAGTGTTATTCGACGCTGCCAGCAACTGCCTGGATGGAGAGACGAGTGTATTCAACATGTGACCCTCGGCTTAGCGGCTCAGCGCCGCGCGCTGTCGTCTTGCAGTCAATGCATCGGCGATGCATCGTCGACGTCGGCGATGCGTCGGCGAAGCCGACGTACAGAAAAGCAGGCTCCGCATCGCCGCCTGCTTACCCCGCCTGCTTACTCCTGACTCGCGTGGGAGGCCTGGAAAAGCGCGGGAAGCCTGATGAGAAGCCCGTTCCCCTCGCAGAGCCCCCTCCCCGCGCGCTGCCGAGTCGAACTGGCTGGCCCGCAGTGAGTATGGGTTCACCGATCCCCATCCCCAGCGGCGTGGCCTGGGCCCCACTGGCCGATGTGCCCCCCCCCAGACGGGGATGTGGGCCGTTCCCTTCGGGTTTCGAGGGGTGTCTCCCCAACTGGGATGGTAATGTGGTGGGAGAGGAGCAGGAGGAGGAGGAGGAGGAGGAGGAGGAGGAGGAGGAGGAGGAGGAGGAGGAGGAGGGAGGAGGAGGAGGAGGGAGGAGGAGGAGGAGGAGGGAGGAGGGAGGAGGAGGTGGGAGGAGGAGGGAGGATGGGGAGGGGGGCCGGCGAGACGATACCGAGCCGAGTCGAACTGGCCTGCAGGGGCCCCCTGCGCAGACCGTTCCTCGAGTGCAGGCTGGAGGTGGCCCTGGCCCGAGGCCCGAGAGGTGCCCCTCGGCCGCCCGAGCCGCTCTTGCTGCAGCCCCATCGGGAGGGCGAGGAGGAGGGCGAGGAGGGCGAGGAGGGAGAGGAGGAGGGCGAGGAGGGAGAGGAGGAGGAGGAGGAGGATGAGGAGGAGGGCGAGGAGGAGGAGGAGGACGAGGACAAGGAGGAGGACGAGGAGGGAGAGGAAGAGGAGGAGGTGGTGGTGGAGGAGGAGGAGGACGACGAGGGCGAAGAGGAGGACGGGGACAAGGAGGAGGACGAGGAGGAGGGCGAGGATGCAGACGACGAAGACGAGGGGGGCTCGCGAGGGGTGCTCAGGAACCCCTGGGCCCACGCCTCCCTCGCAGAATATAGGTGGGCACCCCTGGCAGGGGAGACCAGGAGATGCCGATGCCGCGGCTTCCCACCTCTCCAGGGGGTGCCCTCGGGCCAGAATTTCGAAGCGTGTCCACTTGTGGCGACGAGGGCCTCCCGCTCTCTCCCTCGCACGCAGAAGCGGACGAGACTCTGCGCCGGCCCGGCCGAGAAGGGCAGGAGGCAGGAGGAAGAAGGGGGGAGTGGGAAGAAGAACAAGAGGACGAAAACTAATACGAAGAAGAAGAAGGATAATACGAATCACATAAGAATAACAAAACACATACTAAGAATAAGAAGAAGAAGCGTACAGATAAGACGAATACAGTAATCAGATGAAGAAGAGAGACCGTACTTTGAAGAAAAATAATAATAACATGAGAAGACACACCAGCTCTTCTGCAAGAGCCCAGCGGAGCTTGGGAATCGCGAGGCAAGGAGTAACCAGCGAGAACGAGGGGGCCCACAGCTCTCGGGAGGGGGTCTTCCGGGAGGCCCGCCCGACGCGGCGGAAACAGGGCACGGGCAGCGCTATCGCTCCTCCTCTGAGGGGCAGCAATCGGAGGGAAGCCTCGACCTGGAGTCGGCGACACATCGCAGATAGATCGGCGACAGGCCCCCGATAGCGCCTCCGAAAGGTCCTGAGCGGTCGGGGGGACTGGCTCGGGAGGGAAGCATCGATGAAGGGGCCCCGGGGCACACGAAGAAATGCACACGTATCCCAGAATTCCGGGTCTTTCTTACGTTTTCTGGATGTTCGTCTTCCCCCCCCCACACCTCCCGAATTTCCCAATCTTTTCCAGGGAATCGACGATTCATTGTGTCCGTGTGGTCTTCCCTCCTGAATCGACCTGGACTCGGAGATACGTCGCATATAGATCGGCGATAGATCCCCGATAGCGAATCCGAAAGGTCCTGAGAGGGATGGGGCTATGGGGCCCCTATAGGCGATGCCTGGGCGATTGGAAGTCGATGCGTCTCCCCCTGAGCTGACCCTCCCCCCTGCCTAGACAAGCGCGATCCAGTACTCGCAAAGCAGTTACTCGCAAATGGCCTGGATCCACCAAGGGGGGGATGTACGATCCATTACATGAAGGCGGACATGTTTTTTCTGGCGTTTGCGAGTACACGTCGTTCAAATCCAATTCGTGTGCAGTTCTGATGGTGCTGGTTTCTCGTTGCGCCTGGCCCCCCAGTGGCCAGGAAGAGGCCCAGGACAGAACACTCAGAAATCAACGGATCTTGGCCCCCCAAGAACTCAAAGAACTTTCGAATGATTAGAAGTGAACCATGTGTACAGGGCAGTTTTTGATACATCGGCTTGTTTACATACTATGATTTTAGTACATGATTGATTTATAAATGAATTTATGCAAGAAGTCATCGCTGTTTTTATGTTAAATCCCTGCATGTTTAATGCATGATCCCCACGCGGAGCATGTACTAAAAACGGCACTGTCGGCACTCTGCGAGTAGTGGCACGCGCTCGGTGACCAACGCTGCCCCCGAGAGCCCCCGACTCGCAGAAGGCACGACGGCAACAGAGGCGCCCGCCCCCCCCCCCCCCCCGAGAGGGCCGAGAGGGCGCCGCGAGGGGCCGTCGCGCGCGGGCGCTGCTCCGGCGGCCTGCTCTGGCTGCTGCTGGCCGCCGCCCCCCATGCCGGGGATCTGCCCGAGCAGGCGCTGGAGGTTGAAGTTGCCCGCCATGGCCGAGGCCTCGGCGCGGGGGCGAGGCCGAAGGTGGAGGTCGCGACGACGACGACGACGACGACGACGACGACGACGACGACGACGACGACGACGACGGCCGCCTTGAGGTTGAGGCTGAGGTTGCGGCTCTGAGGTGGCGGCTGCGGTGGCGGCTGCCGCGCCGCGCTCGCCCGCCCGCCCGCGCCCGAGGGGCCGAGGGGGGCCTCCGTGCAGCACGGCCTAAGGGAGGGCAGGCCGCCGCGCGGGGGGGGCGGGGCCCCGAGGGGGGCACGGGGCCCCCTCGCGGAGGCGCCCTGGCCGTCCTCGGCCGCCTTCGGGGCCCTTGCCTCGGGCGTTGCGAGAAGTGCCTTTGGCCCAGGGTGCCCCCCAGCTTTTCGCTCCATGGTGGAGCCCCCAGGGTCTTCTGGGCCTCGCGAGGGGTGCTCTGGAGGCCATGGAAATCCTGGGGGGCGCCTTGGGACAGGGGCAGCTCTAGCAACCCCCGGTTCACCTCAGCTGGGGAAACCAAAAGGGGCACCGCTACCGCCACTCCCCGGACCTCTCTCCTGGGCTGCGCTCTGGCCAGGACTCCGGGGCGAAAGCCCAGCGGCGGCGACGAGGGCCTCCCAGGAGGCCCAGGACGGAGAAGACGAGGAGAGGGCAGCGGTGCCCGTGCGCCCCCCGAGGCCTTCGGGGGCAGGAGCAGCGCGGCCCGGGGCGAAGAGAGCTGGTCCCGGGGGAGGCCCGCGGGCCAGGGCCCGCGTGCACCGGGGCCCCCCCCCCCCCGTCTCCCTCTGGCCAGGCTCGGGGCGTCGTGCAGCGGGCCCGTGGCAGAAGGAGGCGGGAGAGGGATGCCAAGGAGCCTCGGACGCCCATCTCAGAGCTCTTCGAGCTTCGAGCGGGGCGCGGCCAACGGAAGCGGCCCAGGATGGACCGAGGAGGCCAGGATGCAAGGCGGACACCCCTGGGACAGGCTGCCCACCCTTCCTATGTGGGTCGACTGACTGTAGGTGCATTGGGCAGGGCCACGGAGGAGGGGTCAGAGGGAACCCGCCCGGCACGGCCCCCCTAGGGATCCGATGTCCTGCTCTTTTCCATGCGGGCTCCTCGGAAGCCTCGACCCCTTCCCCAGGACCGGCGTTCCGTCCTGAGTCGTTTTTTGACGCTCCCGAGGCCCGGCGAGGTCCCCTCGAGGCCGAAAACGGCGAAAGACCTTGGTCTTGTTTTTTTCAATGCGTTGGATCTCTGGGCCTGAACGAGCCCCTCTGGGAAAGAGAAAATGATCGGCCTCAAGTTGGCCTCGCCCCCCGGCCCCACACGGAGACTGACCCCACCCCCAGCTCGTAAAGTGCTGTCTTCTGCCTCGCAGGGTCGTGGGGCGCGTCGTTTCTTTGTCGCAATCGTGCTGCGCCCCGTGGTTCTGCGTCAGAATCGTGACGTGTTCCGCTCAACGTTTGCTAGTCTTCGCACGCTCGCAGCCTGGAGCTAGTCATATCCACGGGCAGGCACTCCACCAAGCATGGGCCACGAAGTGCTCCCTCTGCTTCTGAGAGCGCGTCCTCCAGATGTACGGCCTCTGACTTGACAGCGCACACACGACGGACAGGGCGACCGCCCAGCTCCTGCCAGAAGCTTCTTGGATGGGGTCCGAGTAGGTGGGAACGGAGGATCGCACCGCATCGCCAGTGCATCGGCGCCGTCGGCGACGCATCGGCGACGTCGGCGGGGACAAAAAAAGCTAACCTTCTCGGCGCGTGTGAAGCGTTCGTTCTTCCGTTTGGGTCGTCGTCGTCGTCGTCGTCGTCGTCGCCGCCGTCGCCACTCCCCCCCTTTTCCTGAGCCCTCCTCCTCGAGCGATCCAGCCAAACGGAAACCAAACAACGTCGCAGTTGATTCGAAGGGAAGCCCCTTCCCTTTGATCCCTTCCCTCCTGGAAGGCGGGTCGCCACCCCACCCCAGGGGGAACCCGCGGGGGAAATCCCGGGAGGGGGCCCCGGGGGGTCATGGCCCCCATCCCCCCGGGGGGCACCTCCCCCCTGCAGAGAAGGGGGACCACGGGGGCGGCCTCCCTGCGGACAGGAGAGCTCAGGACCCCTCCCCCCCGCCTCCCCCCGTGGACAAGAGGACCACCACCACCACCACCACCGGCCTGTCCTCCCAGACCCCCCCCCCAAGATGGCCTGCGAGGGGCCCACAGGAGGCCCCTAAGCGGACCCAAGAGCCCTCCAAGAGGCCCCCCAAGAGGCTGCCTCCGAGAGGCCTCTGGTTCACGACAGCCACGATACGGCACCCGAGGGCCGCTCCCCAAAGTCCACCCCAAGCGGTTTAGCTACCAGCACTTCCAGAAGGGAGGGGGTGGAGGTGCTTCGCTGGAGGCGACCTCGATCCGCCGCCCTCTGGTGCCCGGCGTGCCAAGTGATGGAACACGCGTTGGCCTTTCCAAAAGGTTCCTGAGGGTCTTTCCGCCCCACCCTCCGGACACCTGGAAGACCGACCGCTTCACGACTTGGAAATGGAAGCTCGTCTCCAGATGTCCGAAATGGCCCTCGATGGCCTCGAAGACGGCCGCGGACGGTCCCTGATGGCCTCCAAGATGGCTCAAGATGCCCTCAAGATGGCCCAAGAGGGCTCGAGGACGGCCCACGATGGCATCAAGACGGCCCAAGAAGCATCCAAGACTGCCTGAGAGGGCTCCAAGACAAGAGGCACACATAATTTCAACACAGTGGATTTGGAAAGTGTTCGGGTTCTCACCTTCAGAGCCTCCAAGACAGCCCAAGACGTTCCCAAGGATGGGTTAAGATAGCCCAAACGGGTGCCAAGAGGACACTCGACGGCCCAGAGAGGCCCCCAGGACGGCCCCTGAAATCGCCAGACGGCTCAAGA